TTGTAATTATTTTGCACTATGGCCTATTTATTGCCTTACCTCCATAACTTACTACATTTGCACACACTGTATATATATTTTCTATTGTGTTATTGACTGTACGTTTTGTTTTTGTTTATTCCATATGTAACTGTGTTGTTTTTATCGCACTTCTTTGCTTTATCTTGGCCAGGTCGCAGTTGTAAATGAGAACTTGATCTCAACTGGCTTACCTGGTTAAATAAAGGTTAAATGAATAAATAAATAAATAGTTATTTTTTTATCTAAATAACTATCTATGTACTTTGAGTTTGAATGTCACTTAATTTTTTTAGCTGTCTGTTAAAGGCAAATGTTTTTGCCTGAAGGGTATATTGTTTGGATTTTTTAATTCATAATAAATTATTAAAATAATGCAGTTAGTGTAATCATTTCTATGTGCCCTTGTCATCTGGGAAGAGCATATTTGACATTGTCAAATATGGGGACATTGCATACCACATTAAATTAGTAGATGTTATCTTAAAGGAAATTACACGAAAAGGAAATTTCAAGGACATGCTTTGGTATCCTGGCGGGTTGGGGCAGTAACCGAAAGGTTGCTGGATCGAATTCCCGAGCTGACAAGGTAAAAATCTGTCATTCTGCTCCTGAGCAAGGCATTTAACCCAACCGGCCGCCAACGACGTGGATGTTGATTAAGGCAGCCCTCCACACCTTGGGTTAAATGCGGAAGACACATTTCAGCTGAATGCATTCAGTTGTACAAATGACTAGGTATACCCCTTTCCCTTTGGCTATATTAGAAGACTAGGGGGTGGTTTCCCAGAAACAGATTAAGCCTAGTCCTGGACTATGGAGATTGTAAATTGAGTTTGCCTTTCTAGTCCAAGAATTAATCTGTGTCCGGGAAACCAGCCCTAGAATCCATAATTAATCCAACTCGGAATTATGCCACGTTCACGTGCCATCAGAAACTGGGAACCTTTGTGTTGAAATGAAGGTCAATTATTTATGTAGAGCTTCATGTTGGCTCATTCTGATACTTCCCAAGTTGGAAACTCACGATCATCGTGCTACGCGTTAGCAAGTCAGAAATGTCACTAATGAATACACCCCTGGTAGGTCACCCCGTTTGGTTCCTAGTATAAATTTATGGGGAGTGACAATATACAACAAAAATGTAGGTCTCAGAGCACTGAAATTATGCATTGCACCAGATTTAGCTAAGAATTTAAATCTATACACCCCTGATCAACCAGACCGGTGTTCCACATGCCTTACCCTCACCCCACATGGTGTAGAATGAAGTTGCCTTTAGATGCTGATCTGGGGTGAATTTCCCCCACTAATGGTTAAGGTTAGGATTGGGGTAGGGTAAACTGATCCTAGATCTGTTTCTAGAGCACTTCACCCAGGAGCCACAAAACACTGCTTCACTGTTCTGCACCAAGGCAAGACTTACAAAGTAGTTGTACAATGACACCCAGACTCAGAGGTTAAAACAAACATTCTTGATTTATTCTCAGCCCACCACCAATATACATAATGACCTGTTTTTTTTTTTAGTAAAGAAAGATCAAATAGCCTCTCAAACCACCTAGTATTCTACACAGGACAAATATAAAACACATGTAAAGTGTTGGTCCCATGTTTCATGAGCTGAAGTAAAATAAAAGATCCCAGACATTTTCCATATGCAAAAAAAGCTTTTCTCATTGTGCACAAATTTGTTTACATCCCTGTTAGTGAGCATTTCTTCTTTGCCAAGATAATCCATCCACCGGACAGGTGTGGCATATTAAGAACATGATTAAACAGCATGATCATTACACAGGTGCACCTTGTGCTGGGGACAAAAGGACACTCAAATGTGCAGTTGTCACACCACAATGCTACCGATGTCTCAGGTTTTGAGAAAGCGTGCACTTGGCATGCTGACTGCAGGAATGTCCACCAGAGCTGTTGCCAGATAATTTAATGTTAATTTCTCTACCATAAGCCACCTCCAACGTCATATTAGAGAATTTGTCAGTATGTCCAACTGGCCTCACAACCGCAGACCACGTGTATGGAGTCGTGAGGGCGAGTGGTTTGCTGATGTCAACAGAGTGCCCGATGGTGGCAGTGGGGTTATGGTATGGGCAGGGACAAGCTATGGACAATTTAAAAAAATGCATTTTTATCGATGGCAATTTAAAAACACCGAGATACCGTGACAAGTTCCTTTTTAAGATATCTGTATTCCCAGTCATGTGAAATCCATAGATTAGGACCTAATGAATTTATTTCAATTGACATTTCCTTATATGAACTAACTCAGTAGAATCTTTGAAATTGTTGCATTTATATTTTTTGTTCAATATACATCAGATGATACAGTAGACAAAGAGAGTAGTGTGAACAGCCCACTCATGTCCTCTCCACTCATTGAGTAGTGTGAACAGCCCACTCATGTCCTCTCCACTCATTGAGTAGTGTGAACAGCCCCACTCATGTCCTCTCCACTCATTGAGTAGTGTGAACAGCCCACTCATGTCCTCTCCACTCATTGAGTAGTGTGAACAGCCCACTCATGTCCTCTCCACTCATTGAGTAGTGTGAACAGCCCACTCATGTCCTCTCCACTCATTGAGTAGTGTGAACAGCCCACTCATGTCCTCTCCACTCATTGAGTAGTGTGAACAGCCCACTCATGTCCTCTCCACTCATTGAGTAGTGTGAACAGCCCACTCATGTCCTCTCCACTCATTGAGTAGTGTGAACAGCCCACTCATGTCCTCTCCACTCATTGAGTAGTGTGAACAGCCCACTCATGTCCTCTCCACTCATTGAGTAGTGTGAACAGCCCACTCATGTCCTCTCCACTCATTGAGTAGTGTGAACAGCCCACTCATGTCCTCTCCACTCATTGAGTAGTGTGAACAGCCCACTCATGTCCTCTCCACTCATTGAGTAGTGTGAACAGCCCACTCATGTCCTCTCCACTCATTGAGTAGTGTGAACAGCCCACTCATGTCCTCTCCACTCATTGAGTAGTGTGAACAGCCCACTCATGTCCTCTCCACTCATTGAGTAGTGTGAACAGCCCACTCATGTCCTCTCCACTCATTGAGTAGTGTGAACAGCCCACTCATGTCCTCTCCACTCATTGAGTAGTGTGAACAGCCCACTCATGTCCTCTCCACTCATTGAGTAGTGTGAACAGCCCACTCATGTCCTCTCCACTCATTGAGTAGTGTGAACAGCCCACTCATGTCCTCTCCACTCATTGAGTAGTGTGAACAGCCCACTCATGTCCTCTCCACTCATTGAGTAGTGTGAACAGCCCACTCATGTCCTCTCCACTCATTGAGTAGTGTGAACAGCCCACTCATGTCCTCTCCACTCATTGAGTAGTGTGAACAGCCCACTCATGTGCTCTCCACTCATTGAGTAGTGTGAACAGCCCACTCATGTCAGCACAACAGAATTCAACAGAGCCTTCCTATTTATCTTGGCCAGGTCGCAGTTGTAAATGAGAACCTGTTCTCAACTGGCTTACCTGGTTAAATAAAGGTGAAAAAAAATAATAATAATAATTAAAAAAAATAATAATAAAAAAATAAAAAAAATTGTGGTTTATTTTTGGACAATTCTATTTCGGCGCCATATTGGGTAGACATTGAGGAAATCCTATGGACCAAAAAAACGACAATATGTCCGTTATACCCATTCTATTCCTATGGTATAGACATGATCATAGCGAGGGGAGACAAGAGACAGTGGAGTCCTGCTGCTCACTAGACATCATTTGATAGGATGCATCCCAAACTGTACCCTATTCCCTACATAGTGCCCTGGTCAAAAGTAGTGTACTATAATAAGATTCAGTTTGGGACTCGCCCAAAGTCATTTAGACAAGCCACACTTCACATTCTTCAAGGAATCTCAGCGACATGATCAGGACCACATTACATCTTCTCAAATATATTGGTACAAATGTAATGTGCATGCCACCACCTACTTTTAACATTATAATTATTCCACAATACCGACCGATCAGCTCGCTAATAGTCTCTGATTTGACTAAAACACTACAAGCTACGCTGCCATGTTCTGCATGGTCAAGCCCCTTACTCCAGCACAAGCCCACATTAATCTGACAATACTTAATTTAATGGCAGATAAAGTTCTTCATGTAAGGTCTGATTAATACGTTCTTCAGTTCTAGAACCTTCAGCTCCTGAAGGTTAGACTCCCCCTCTTCCTGCTCCTGCCTTCCTGGGACTGGTTGCTTGACAGCTAATCAGATCAAGTATTGGTAACTGCATACTTGGGAGTGTGTCTTGAAGTGGGCGTTGAAAAAGAAGTGGGGTGGATCAACAGCGATGGGTGTAACATCAGGGGGGCAATTCTATTAAGCTAACATATGGAATTGTTTTAAGATGTCATATCATGGATCATTTAGCAATTAGATTTTGAATTTTAGGACCCCTGTAGGATGAAAAACAGAGGTGTTTCGGCCCTCCAGGACCAGAATTGAAGAACCCTGTCTTAAGGGGTAACGCCACCTAAAAGTAACTGAAAGTAATCAGATTACTTTACTGAGTTTGGGTAATGCAAAAGTGACGTTACTGATTACATTTTTAGACAGGTACATAGTAACTAATAGATTATTTAGAAAGTAACCTACCCAACCCTGGAGGTTGGTTAGGAGAATGAGGTTAAGGTTAGGAAAAGGGTAAGGCTTAGCTAAAATGCTATAGTTGTTCAAAATCAACACGTCGTGCAGCCCAATCAGCCACGCAAAACAGTCTTGAGTGGCAACAAATCTGCCCAATTAGCTGATTCGCTTTCTATACACCCACTTCTGTTGATCCTCCCCCTTGTTGACTTTCAGACACACTCCATGTATGCAGTTACCCATGACTCAATCAGATTGAAGGAATATTCACTTGCGGGCGTTGTCGTAATTGGCCACGAACCAATCACACGTCTCCTTCAAGGCTGTGAAGGGGGAGGAAGAACAACAAGGAGACTCAGCAACAGGAACCAAACAGCTTTATTTGCAGAACTTGATATGTCAATTGCGAATGTTAATAAAAAGGTGGCCGAATACAGATACAACATTGTTTTAGCACAACAAACAGAGTTTTTGAACTACGGCGCACAACATTGTTCAATGTGCAAATAAAATCGGCAATCTACTTTTTGGGTTTTTCAAAATGACTGGCGTTGGAGAAGTAGGTACCTTGTTTGAAGGGGGTAAAGGTGCAGTTGGGGCGGTACCGCAGCAGCTTGGCGTTGCTGGCGGTCTTCTTGAACTGACCGTCCGCTTTGGTCGTGTCATACTGGAGGTCTTGGTTATGGAATCAAACACACAGGGCTGCCACTGGGAGGTTGTGCGTGTGAGATAGTGTGTGTGTGTGTGGTGTGTGTTAGCGTTATAATCTGGCCATGCAGCCAGGTGAAAGGATACAGTCACTTGACCTTTGAACCCCAGCGCCTCGACGACAGCCTCTGCTGCCTCCTTGATGGACACCTCCTCCTCCTCACCAACTAAAATACAAAGCGAGAGAGGGAGACAACACTGAATCCTGAAAATGTTGTTGTTTAATGTGTGTGTGTGTGTGTGTGTGAGTGAGAGAGAGTGCGTGTGCTCACCAGACAGTATAATGGGGTCCACCTCGTAGTACTCTCTCAGCACCCAGAGGAAGAGATGAGCCAGGTCCAACGAGTAGATGAACTGCCTTCTGGGAGATCCTGAGCCCCACACCACCAACGGACTGCCCTCCTCTAACAAACACGGATGAGTAAAGGCTTGTTAGAAGAAATGTAATCTCCCGTGGGCAGATTCTGCGTGTACATCGAGAGAATCTACCAGGGCTGAATGGGATGTGTGAGATCCGAGCAGCATTAGTTCCGTTTTTGGGGGGTTTCGTCACTGGTTAATTGGACGTATTAGGATTGGGCGAAGGCGGTGCTTAAACTGCTTCTGTGGTGAATTATTATTAATGAACTGTAGAGTTTAATGGACTATGAGGTAGAACTGGGTTAATCAAGAGCATAAAGTTAGAATTCTTTGTTACTGGGCCAGGAATTGTATTGGGTCATTTAATTTCACTGTGTGGGTGAGTAGAGAGGGAATCTGCCTTAGGGTCAGATTGCTTGCTCTTACTTAAATCCATGGCTGTCTTATCTGATGAGACTGAAACTAGCTTGTGGCCTTTTGTCTCTCTCTTCAGACACAGTGAAGGGAGCGGCACCAGGATTGAATAGAGTTTGGGCTAGACCTTTGTCTCCTTGGTATCTTCTTGATTGATTACAGCATGAGGGGGTGAGGTTTGTGTATGACTCAAGAATTTAGGGCCTAGTCATGTTTAAACTAAACATGAGTGTGTGTGCAAGACAGGGGAGCGAGTGATTGGTTGGAGTAATAGTTCAGCCGTCCTCAGGGACAAAGGAAGTGGGTGTGGAGTGTACCTCCCGAGTGGCGCAGTGGTCTAAGGCACTGCATCGCAGTGCTAGCAGTGCCGCTAGAGATCTTGGTTCGAATCCAGGCTCTGTCGTAGCCGGCCGCGACCGGGAGACCCATTGGGGCGGCGCACAATTGGCCCAGCGTCGTCCAGGGTAGGGGAGGGAATGGCCGGCAGGGATGTAGCTCAGTTGGTAGAGCATGGCGTTTGCAACGCCAGGGTTGTGGGTTCGATTCCCACAGTATGAAAAAAATAAAAATAAAATGTATGCACTCACTAACTGTAAGTCGCTCTGGATAAGAGCGTCTGCTAAATGACTAAAATGTAAAATGAGTGATAAAGAGCGGGAAACTGAAGAGGGAGGGATTTAGAGCTAGAAGAGTTGGGGATGATGGTATATAATGTGACGTGAGGGAGGAAGAACGGGGTGCCACTCTGCAGACTGGTATCGGCTTTGTTGAAATTTTTATAAAATCATTTCTTGATGCAACAAAAACTCTTTAAGACCTTTTATTTGTAATAAAGTATAGTGGTTATAGTTATAGTGGAATGTGTGTATACAGATTAATGTAGGGAGGTATACTGTATAGGTTTTATACATTGAATAAATGTTATCACTGTTTCGTATACATTCCCAGCTATAAACTGAATTGCAGTATACAGACCAAAAAAGACAGCAGGCTACAGTTGGCTGAAAAATAAAGAAATAGATATACAGCTATTAGTGAGTGTTGTGTAGTTATCTTACTCTGAGCGATGTAGGCTTTGTGTATGAGACCTGGTAGTACATGTCCATCCTCAATGTTGAAGTTATCATGAGGACCAAACACATTGGTTGGTATCACTGCTGTGTAGCACCGCCCATGCTGCTGGTGATACGCCCTGCAAGACAAACACACATCAACATAACCCACGAACACGACCACAGAGCCATATACACTACATGCTCGTCAAACATCTCATTCCAAAATCATGGTCATTAATATGGAGTTGGTCCCCCCTTTGCTGCTATAACAGCCTCCACTCTTCTGGGAAGGCTTTCCACTAGATGTTGGAACATTGCTGCGGGGACTTGCTTCCATTCAGCCACAAGAGCATTAGTGAGGTCGGGCACTGATGTTGGACGATTAGTCCTGGCTCGCAGTCGGCGTTCCAATTCATCCCAAAGGTGTTCGATGGGGTCGAGGTAAGGGCTCTGTGCAGGCCAGTCAAGTTCTTCCACACCGATCTTAACAAACCATTTCTGTATGGACCTCGCTTTGTAATTCATCACTCCAGAGAACGCGTTTCCAATGCTCCAGAGTCCAATGGCAGCGAGCTTCACATTAATCTAGCCATCACTTGGCATTGTGCATGGTGATTTTAGGCTTGTGTGCGGCAGCTCGGCCATGGAAACCCATTTCATGAAGCTCCAGACGAACAGTTCTTGTGCTGACGTTGCTTCCAGAGTCAGTTTGGAACTCAGTAGTGAGTGTAGCAAACGAGGACAGACTGGGGTCTTGTTCTGTGAGCTTGTGTGGCCTACCACTTCGTGGCTGAGCAGTTGTTGCTCCTAGACGTTTCCACTTCACAATAACATCACTTACAGTTTACTGGGGAAGCTCTAGCAGGGCAGAAATTTAACGAACTGACTTGTTGGAAAGGTGGCATCCTATGACGGTGCCACATTGAAAGTCACTGAGTTCTTCAGTATGGGCCCTTCTATTTCCAATGTTTGTCTTTGGAGATTGCATGGCTGTGTGCTTGATTTCATACACCTGTCAGCAACGGGTGTGGCTGAAATAGCAGATTCCAATCATTTGAAGGGTCCACATACTTTTGGCCATGTGTACTACGTACATGGTTTGAGGAGTTAGAGGTAACTTTGGTCAACTCTGAGTTCAACTCGGGATAACCGGTACCACTAAAGTGGCTCACCGTTTATCCTGGTAAATTTCTATGGCAACGAATCCTTCAGAACTAACATTGATAAGTACACCAAAAACTGCATTAAAAATAAGTAAAATAAAGACAGCACTTCAACAAGCCTGATTTCACACCATTGCCTGCTGAATTTGCAAGATAAAATGTGCACTGACTCGCCCATGGATTGATGTTTCAGCATCATCTCAATGAAGGGTTCCGCGTTCGACTAGCCACGTGCGACATGCACGCGCAGTTACAAGCCTGCTAGAGTTAGCGGCAGGCGGACAAGCAATTTCCATGGTCGTAGTACGGATGAAGCCAGAGCTGGAATGTGAAGCTACCTGAAGCTGGCTAGCTTTAGAAAACCCTAGCTTCAAATCATAGTATACCCCTCTGGTCTCTTCTAATAAAGGTTAAAGACGTGCTCCAATGTGTAGTTCATACATGCATAATCTATGAGCAGAATTACTCTTACCTCAATTAGCCACAAAATCCCTAGTTTGAAAGCGACTGTTTTCTAGAAGCTGTGCTGCGCCATTTCCCCTAGATTTTCCCCTCGTAGGCCAGCCCCCTTGCAATTCAAGTTCAGCCTATCAGCTTTAGCCCCTCACCATTTGAGTGACAGCTAGGAAGATGCACACAGCAGAGCGAGAGAAAGCGCAATGACGTGGTGTACATATTGCACATGTGACATAGGACCACTTTTGGCTCGTGAGCGCTACTTTCAGAACTACTGGCTAAAAAGTAAACAAAAGTACCGGAGAATCTCTTTAAATAAAAGAAGAACACACCTATTGTGGACATCGATCATTCTCTTAGCGTACGAGTAGCCATAGTTAGACTCATGAGGAGGGCCGTTGTGGATCTGGAAGAAAATAAATAAGAGAGAGAGTCAACTACCATCATGTCTGCAACACACACGCACAGACACACACAAGTTGTTACCATGGTCTCGTCGATGGGGTAGGTGGTCTTGTCAGGGAAGATGCAGGTGGAGAGACAGGAGACCACCCTGACAGCGTCTACCTCGTGTGCTGCCTGCAGAACGTTGTCATTGATGTAGATGTTGTTTCTCTGGAGAATATGGATGGATGGATGGATGAATACATTGGTAAATAAACATGATCAAAATCACACATGGATGGATGAATAAGGTCGAGTCCCCATTGGCACCCTATTCACTATAGTGTACAATTTTGACCAGGGCCTATAGTGAGTGATTAGGGTGCCAATAGGGATGTAGCCCAAGTTGGTAAATAAACATTGTCAAAATCTGCATCCTGTACCTCTAGCCTTTTTCAGAAGTGTGAACTTTTAAAACATAGGATTGGTAAAAAAGCATTGGCTGAAGGGAGTTTCCACCATTGTAAAAGTAATGTGAGAAAATTGTGCAAGTGCACACGTCGGGAACTATGTGGAGAATCGGGATTCAGCCTCTGTCATCACAACTCCTGAACCACTTACCCAGAAGTCAAGGTTGGCCCTCATGTTCTTGAAGAGCCCTCCCACCATGGCTGCCAGGTGGATGATATGGGTGGGCTGGTGCTTCTGAAACACTGCCCGCGTCTCTCCCATGTCCCTGAGGGAGCACACACACACACACACACACACACGTCAGCTTGGAATGTATATATTCTTAAATTCCATTCCTTACTTAGATGTGTGTGTATTAGGTATATGTTGTGAAATTGTTAGATATTACTTGTTAGATATTACTGCACTGTCGGCGCTAGAAGCACTTCGCTACACCCGCAATAACATCTGCTAAACACGTGTAAGTGACATCAAATTTGATTTGATTTTTCAAAAACACAGGAACTCATAGGCTGGGCTACAAAGCCACCCAGAGCTAGGACTGAGGCAGGAGAGGGAGTGTTGGGTCAGGTGTGTGTGTGTGTCTATGTATGAGTGTGTGTAGCTCTCACATGAGGTTTGCGTCCTTAGACGAGAGGAAGATCCACTCCTCTCCCTCCCTGGCCCCTCCCTCTTCTTTGACCACATGTTCTATGGCCCTGCCCACCAGACCAGTCCCCCCAGTCACCAACACCCGCATAGGGCCATTTTGATCCACTTTGTGATCTCCCATCTGCGCGCGCGCACACACACACACACACACACACACACACACACACACACACACACACACACACACACACACACACACACACACACACACAGAGAGAAATGGGGGGGAGAACGGGAGAGAGAAACAGTGAATTGCTTAGATCAGTGAAGTTCAAGGTAATCTACTTTGGAAGAAGGCTGCCAAGTTGTTATTTCATACAAATGGCAGGGGAATTACTTCTCCAGAATTGATTGATGAATTCAGTGATATACGAATCAAGAATCAATTAAACAAGAGTTACTAACAGACATACAGACTAATCTCGTCCCCCAGCCGGCTCTTTCTTTCTGTCGAGCCTGGGGACGAGGTTACATACAGACCTTAAAACAGACCTGAAAGATAAGTCTACACAGAAAGTACAGTGAGGGAAAAAAGTATTTGATCCCCTGCTGATTTTGTACGTTTGCCCACTGACAAAGACATGATCAGTCTATAATTTTAATGGTAGGTTTATTTGAACAGTGAGAGACAGAATAACAACAAAAAAATCCAGAAAAACGCATGTCAAAAATGTTATGAATTGATTTGCATTTTAATGAGGGAAATAAGTATTTGACCCCTCTGCAAAACATGACTTAGTACTTGGTGGCAAAACCCTTGTGGGCAATCACAGAGGTCAGACGTTTCTTGTAGCTGGCCACAAGGTTTGCACACATCTCAGGAGGGATTTTGTTCCAGTCCTCTTTGCAGATCTTCTCCAAGTCATTAAGGTTTCGAGGCTGACGTTTGGCAACTCGAACCTTGAGCTCCCTCCACAGATTTTCTATGGGATTAAGGTCTGGAGACTGGCTAGGCCACTCCAGGACCTTAATGTGCTTCTTCTTGAGCCACTCCTTTGTTGCCTTGGCTGTGTGTTTTGGGCCATTGTCATGCTGGAATACCCATCCACGACCCGGATTACTTTATCCTATCCCAGGTATTCCTTAAAGAGGTGGGGTTTCAAGTGTCTCCGGAAGGTGGGGAGTGACTCCGCTGTCCTGGCGTCATGAGGGAGCTTGTTCCACCATTGGGGTGCCAGAGCAGCAAACAGTTTTGACTGGGCTGAGCGGGAACTGTGCTTCTGCAGAGGTAGGGGGGCCAGCAGGCCAGAGGTGGATGAACGCAATGCCCTCGTTTGGGTGTAGGGACTGATCAGAGCCTGAAGGTACGGAGGTGCCGTTCCCCTCACCGCTCCGTAGGCAGGCACCATGGTCTTGTAGCAGATGCGAGCTTCAACTGGAAGCCAGTGGAATGTGCGGAGGAGCGGGGTGACGTGAGAGAACTTGGGAAGGTTGAACACCAGACGGGCTGCGGCATTCTGGATGAGATGTAGGGGTTTAATGGCGCAGGCAGGGAGCCCAGCCAACAGCGAGTTGCAGTAATCCAGACGGGAGATGACAAGTGCCTGGATTAGGACCTGTGCCGCTTCCTGTGTAAGACAGGGTTGTACTCTCCGAATGTTGTAGAGCATGAACCTACAGGATCGGGTCACCGCCTTGATGTTAGCGGAGAACGACAGGGTGTTGTCCAGGGTCACGCCAAGGCTCTTCGCACTCTGGGAGGAGGACACAACGGAGTTGTCAACCGTGATGGCGAGATCATGGAACGCGCAGTCCTTCCCGGGGAGGAAGAGTGGGATGGGGTCAAGCGGGCAGGTTGTTAGGCGGCCGGCCGTCACAAGTCGCAAGATTTTATCTGGAGAGAGAGGGGAGAAAGAAGTCAAAGCATAGGGTAGGGCAGTGTGAGCAGGACCAGCAGTGTCATTTGACACTTTTTCAAAATGGTTGACGAAGTCATCCACAGAGAGGGAGAGGGGGGGGGATTCAGCAGGGAGGAGAAGGTGGCAAAGATCTTCCTAGGGTTGGAGGCAGATGCTTGGAATTTAGAGTGGTAGAAAGTGGCTTTAGCAGCAGAAACAGATGAAGAAAATGTAGAGAGGAGGAAGTGAAAAGATGCCAGGTCCGCAGGGAGTCTAGTTTTCCTCCATTTCCGCTCGGCTGCCCGGAGCCCTGTTCTGTGAGCTCGCAATGAGTCATCAAGCCACGGAGCAGGAGGGGAGGACCGAGCCGGCCGGGAGGATAGGGGACATAGAGAGTCAAAGGATGCAGAAATGGAGGAGAGGAGGGTTGAGGAGGCAGAATCAGGAGATTGGAGGGAGAAGGATTGAGCAGAGGGAAGGATACAAAGTAGTGGTCGGAGACATGGAGGGGAGTTGCAGTGAGATTAGTAGAAGAACAACATCTAGTGAAGATGAGGTCAAGCGTATTGCCTGCCTTGTGAGTAGGGGGGGACGGTGAGAGGGTGAGGTCAAAAGAGGAGAGGAGTGGAAAGAAGGAGGCAGAGAGAAATGAGTCAAAGGTAGACGTAGGGAGGTTGAAGTCACCCAGAACTGTGAGGGGTGAGCCGTCCTCAGGAAAGGAACTTATCAAGGCGTCAAGCTCATTGATGAACTCTCCAAGGGAACCTGGACGGCGATAAATGACAAGGATGTTAAGCTTGAATGGGCTAGTGACTGTGACAGCATGGAATTCAGATGAGGAGATAGACAGATGGGTCAGGGGAAAAAGAGAGAATGTCCACTTGGGAGAGATGAGGATTCCTGTGCCACCACCCCGCTGACCAGATGCTCTCGGGGTATGCGAGAACACATGGTCAGACGAGGAGAGAGCAGTAGGAGTAGCAGTATTTTCAGTGGTAATCCATGTTTCCGTCAGCGCCAAGAAGTCGAGGGACTGGAGGGTAGCATAGGCTGAGATGAACTCTGCCTTGTTGGCAGCAGAACGGCAGTTCCAGAGGCTGCCTGAGACCTGGAACTCCACCTGGGTGGTGCGTGCAGGGACCACCAGGTTAGAGAGGCAGCAGCCACGCAGTGAGAGGCGTTTGTATAGCCTGTGCGGAGAGGAGAGAACAGGTATAGACAGAGGCATAGTTGACAGGCTACAGAAAATGGCTACAATAATGCAAAGGAGATCGGAATGAAATGAACTAAACATCTGGGAAAGGAGAGAGCGGGGCCTCCCTCACTTACGTTTCACTGAAACACCCAAATATAACTCTCCCAACTTCCACCTCAGAAACTATAATTGTTGTAAACTACAGCGGTTCAATGTTTTCTAGGAATAGACTCTAACTTAGTTTATTCAGCTAGCTAACTTGGTACAGTATTCTTCCGTGAAAATCGTCCAGGGCACCTAGTCATATGACATCACAGCCAGCTAGCATGCCGGACTCCAACAACACGGTTTAGCACCAATACTCGGACACAACAAACCACCAGTGTGTCAACACGCCAAGCAGATCATTCGTGTCCGTGTCTAACGTTGTGGGTTAGTCCCGACAGCTTGAGCGAGTCTGTCGTCAACTTATTCAGCCAGTTAGTTAGCTAGAATAGTTAACTATTGGGGTCATAGGCAGCATTCTTCCTCCTCCAAACAGCAAGTTGAGTTGATGCCAAAGAGCTCGATTTTGGTCTCATCTGACCACAACACTTTCACCCAGTTCTCCTCTGAATCATTCAGATGTTCATTGGCAAACTTCAGACGGGCATGTATGTGCTTTCTTGAGCAGGGGGACCTTGCGGGCGCTGCAGGATTTCAGTCCTTCACGGCGTAGTGTGTTACCAATTGTTTTCTTGGTGACTATGGTCCCAGCTGCCTTGAGATCATTGACAAGATCCTCCTGTGTAGTTCTGGGCTAATTCCTCACCGTTCTCATGATCATTGCAACTCCACGATGTGAGATCTTGCATGAAGCCCCAGGCCGAGGGAGATTGACAGTTATTTTGTGTTTCTTCCATTTGCGAATAATCACACCAACTGTTGTCACCTTCTCACCAAACTGCTTGGCGATGGTCTTGTAGCCCATTCCAGCCTTGTGTAGGTCTACAATCTTGTCCCTGACATCCTTGGAGAGCTCTTTGGTCTTGGCCATGGTGGAGAGTTGGAATCTGATTGATTGATTGCTTCTGTGGACAGGTGTCTTTTATACAGGTAACAAACTGAGATTAGGAGCACTCCCTTTAAGAGTGTGCTCCTAATCTCAGCTTGTTATCTGTATAAAAGACACCTGGGAGCCAGAAATCTTTCTGATTGAGAGGGGGTCAAATACTTCTTAAAATGCAAATCAATTTACAACATTTTTGACATGCGCTTTTCTGGATTTTTTTGTTGTTATTTTGTCTCTCACTGTTCAAATAAACCTACCATTAAAATTATAGACAGATCATTTCTTTGTCAGTGGGCAAATGTACAAAATCAGCAGGGGATCAACTACTTTTTTCCCCTCACTGTAGGCCTACACTTACAGGTTCCAGGACAAGTAGTGAGACACAATGATGCATTGTCCCAGTTTTTTGCAATGACAGAATCAATTCCTTTAGTACTCAAGAAATAATCCAACACAAGAGGGAGTGGACTAAACAAACAGAACTTTACTAGTCGGCTTTTTTACTAGCCTGAGTGCCACTCTGTTTGTGCTATCACAACTCCCTATTACTCATTGACATGTTTGGCTTGACAATGACAGCAATAGAGTACACAAGAGTAGTTATATAGATCTGGGTAAATTTGTACTAGGTTGAAGATAGGGCATTAACCTAGGCTTTTTGCAGGAAGAGGTGGAGGATGTAATTTCAAAAGCATACAAACCACAAGTGTAAAATCATATCTGTGGTCCTCTGTAGCTCAGCTGGTAGAGCACGGCGCTTGTAACGCCAAGGTAGTGGGTTCGATCCCCGGGACCACCCATACACAAAAATGTATGCACGCATGACTGTAAGTCGCTTTGGATAAAAGCGTCTGCTAAATGGCATATTATTATATTATATTACTATATCTGATTAGATTAGGCTAAGTGGAAAGTACACTGCCATGTCCTTTATCTTGTCTTTAGATCCAAGTTCCTAGTCTAGTTTCAAGAATTGGCCAATAGTCTACAATGTAATGAAGGAAACAGGAAGCAGACAATACTGACAATGGGTTTTC